CCCCAAAACCCCAAAATCCCAAAACCCCAAAACCCCAAAACCCCAAAACCCCAAAACCCCTAACTTAAAATTACAGATTGAGCAAAAGGTATTATTTTTGAAATACAAAAGTCCCAATCTATTCCATTTATGCATACTTCTTAAGGAGTACATCGAGGTCATCCAAGTATTGCATATCCTTACCAATGTACCAAGAAGCGCGTCCATAGTCGTAGATTTTGAAGGATTTGATGTTGTCACTTAGTTGGTCTCTGAGCCATTCGTTATCTTTCACAGTGCCGAGTAAATCGGAGCTTCCTACCATCATAGCCATTGGTAATCCCTTGATTTCATGAACTGGTATCTGTGGTGGAGTCTCTGTTCCATATTCTTCAAGATTCTTCTTCTTTCCATAATCGAAGTATTGGAATTTACCCTGGTTATAAAGTTGGAGCTCATGTTCTAAAATCTTGACGCTCAAGCCACCAGGGAAATGTCCCATATAAACTCTAAGAACATCTCTATCGTTTACTGAAGGATCACCATCAGAGTTTCTTTGGAGACTTCTCTCGCAGACAACTGGGAAGTAATTGCAAACGAATTGGAACTTAAACCAACTGGAGAATGATTTTCCGAACCACTCCTTGTATCCTAAAATTTTGACAATATTTAGAGGAATGTCGGTGATTCCTAAGAATCTTAAAAGAGGACTCTTGAGGTTATCCATCTTAGAGATTGGAGAAACTCCGACCAAGAAGGATACTCTATCCTTGAACCACTTCTGCTCATCGGTGGTGAGGGCAGTCAGCATAGTGGCAAATGATTCGGCCTGCCCAACAAAAGCAAGCTTGGATTTGCCAGTCTTTTTCAAGATATAGTCAATGTTAGCCTTATCATCAGCAATAGAGTCGGTGAATGTGAAGTCCCAGAACTCACTGACGTCATTGTCTGGGCTAATGGTTGTATGATCTCTTCCGTACTTAGTACCTCTCCTGTTCGTTACCTATATGCCATCGTTAGCATTTTCGAAAAATATCCTAGTAAATTAAGGCAAATTTTAACAATTTTTCCGTAGACTTACCCAAACATCGTATCCTTTGTTGGCAAGGTTGAAGGCTGGAGATTCCTCTGGGCCATGCACAAACAAGGCATCAGAACTGTCGAAGGCACCATGTTGGAAAATAACCGGCTTGCTGTTAACGGAAGTCTGGTCTCTTCCATGAGGAACTCTGAAAGCGGTGAGAATATAACCGTCTTCCGTGGTGATTTGATGTTTTTCAAGTGGATAGCCATAATTCTGAGCAATTTCTTCAACAGTCAATGACTGATCATCAGCAGTTACAGCACTAATGAGCACGAAACCTATAAAATCAGAGTTAGCAACCTCATTATCTCTAAAAGCATGAATTCTTACTTATGAATAAGAAGGTGAATAATTTCATTATTTATATCGATCAATTTTTCCGGACTTTATAGGGGTTTTGGGGTTTTGGGGTTTTGGGGTTTTGGGG